TCAGATGTCTCTCCTTACAGGATCCACAGCCACAGAACAAATCAAGCTCTGGATGAAATATTTGAAAACAAATATATCTATATGAAACTTTCATAGATTTATTTTGTTCGTATTTTCCCCTAGGAAGTATAGTATAACAACATTTAATAAATTTTTATGAATGAGTATTTTAAGTAGTTTAGGGATGATTTAATGTGCACAGGTTTTTCATTAACTATTTGTAAGTACTACTCAGTAAGAAACATGAACACTTGTAGATTTTAGTGTCTGTGAGCAGGCACTGAAAACACTCCCATACAGAAGATCCTGAAGGATGATTGTGTTGACTGTTGTACCGAATCCCCCAAAGACCACCAAGAGACTGAATCCAATGCAAAAGTAAAGGGTCTTTTTACTATTATGAGTTAACTTGGGACTCTCCATCCATCTGATGCAGTACACCCCGATTAGCAATTGGGCAGGGTTTTTAAAGCAAGGGGGGCCTTAGGGTCTACACACTACATAGGAACAGACTCAAGATTGGTTTATGTGAGTGTCAATCATGTTAGTAACTTTTAATTGGATAGGGCTAGTTGGGGGGTGGGGGTTACAGTTATCCATTTTTGGGTAGGCCTGGACAAGTCCCAAGCTTTGTCCGTGAGCTGTCATGGAGGCTGGCTGGCCTAGCACATATTGACCATGGGGGCTAACTCAGTGGCCCAGGCTCTGTCCTTGATAATACATGGAGGCTGATTGGCCTAGCATGTACTGATTGTGGGGGCTGACTCAGTGGCCCAGGCTGTCACATTGACCCATGCATATAGCTTTAAGTTGGTGACAGACAATAAACAGACAATAAACAATTGGCTTAATCTTGAGCACTCAGAGTATATGCAGAAAGGGAGCTACTGCAAGAACTATGTCTTTTGTTCATGGACATCCCAAAAACTGCTTGCTCAAGTCTTAGGAAACTGAAATTGAGGCCTGATGTCTCAGAGAAGACTGAGCAGCCTGTTATGGCCTCTGCTTGGTCCTTTCTTTGACCAGATGTGTCCAGGTCTGGAAAGGCCTCAACTAAGTATTCCAGATATCCCTGTACACAATTCATTATTTTGTTTTGATATTACTAAACACCATATGCACAAACACATGGAATAATTAAATATTGTTAATCACTCATGAATTAAATATTTAACACATTGATCTTGATCAATGTTCAGAAGAATATGAAGAGTTTTTATTCTTGGTTTTGTCCTATTCATTCTTCTCTACAATAACACAACCCAGACAGAGATGATTTCTAGAGTGGCACAGTTTTCTAAAAATCTAATCTAGTTCAACTTCCAACGGACCTTTAAAAGGCTGATTACACTAGAGGAAGCATGATAGAGTGATATTTGCAGATGTGTCATGGGGAAGAAGCAGTCAGGAGGGGATAGATTGGTACACATTTTTCTCTCTGGCAGTGGGACTCCTGCACAGATTTTTAATAAGCACTGTTTTTCTTAACCTCATTTCACAAATTTATTTTCAAAGCTTACTGCATGTTTAAGAACTTAATTCTTTGCTTTAAACACACTGAGATCATTTGCCTACAAACTATGTTTTGGCCAGGGAATATTATTATCATTTAAATTGTTTACATAAATTATATAACAGTTAGCAACAATAATAATTGTTAGAAATCTTTTCTTTCCATGTAAAAACCAAATATTTATTTCTTTTCATATTAATTTTTCTTATAATGCAAGAAAAACATTTCTATTTTATATCATTACCTAATTTCCTATTTTTCATCTTTAATTATGTTAGTTCCTTCTACCCTTATATGCAGGATTCATTTTAATAGATTGGCAATAGTTATCTGAAACCTCAGATAGTAGTGAACCTTAGGCACAAGCACTGTAGTATCAGGAGTAGGATCCCATCTGATGATTACAATAGATCTGAAATGGCCAATGGCAGTTCAGTGTGCACAGTGTGAATACTCCATACAAAGGGTCTTTCATATCCTAATGGGACAGAATGAGAATGTGGGATTTTATTACACTACTCTGAACACCAAACTTATAAAGTATCTACTTTAGAAATATTTTCATTTTTAATATTTTAGATCATGATGGTTGACATTGGGTAACACAAATCATGTGATAAGGAAAATTACTGTAATTTAAATACTCTATTTCACAATGAGATAGAAAACATCTTCCTAAATGCACTATGAAGATCTTAATTTAGCTATTTGTCAATTTTCTTTCTCTCTCCATCCTCCCTCCCTTCCTTTCTGTCCTTTTTCTTTCTTTCTTTTTTTGAAACAGGGTCTTACTGCATAGCCCAGGTTGGGCTCAGACTTGCGAGTCCTTTTATATTTTTACTTATATGAAGGAAGTTTAAAATTTTTGGTAGTGTTCACTTAATTTATTTTTTATTTTGTTTCTTGAAAAAAATTGAAAAAATGACATTCTTAGTTGAGGGCCACTGACATTTACATCATCATACTTTTTGGTTCTGTGTTAGGTGTAGCCCTTACATTCAGGATATTGGTTACTTTTAATTGATTTTTTATTATATAATGATCTAACATAGCTTTCCTATGTGTTGCTATTCAGGTATATGTAGTGATTTGTGTCCCCCAATATATTGTGCACTCTAATAAATTTATCTGGGGTCAAAGAACAGAACAGCCACTAGATAGATATAGAGGCCAGAAAATGGTGGCACACTCACCTTTAATCCTAGCATTCCAGAGGCAGAGATCCATCTGAATCTCTGTGAGTTCAAAGCCACACTGGAAACAGCCAGGCATGGTGACTCACGCCTTTAATCTCAGAAAGTGGTGGCAGGAAGCAGAAAAATATATAAGGCATGAGGACCAGTAACTAGGCTTGTTAAGCTTTTAAGCTTTTAGTAGCAATTCAGCTGAGATCCATTCAGATGAGGACACAGAGGCTTCCAGTTTGAGGAAACAAGATCAGCTGGGGAATTGGTGAAGTGAGGTTAGCTGTGGCTTGTTTTGTTTCTCTGACCTTTCAGCATTCACCCCAATATCTGGCTCCCGGCTTTGTTTTTATTAATAAGACCTTTTAAGATTTATGTTACAGGTATCACATATCACAAAGGTATCCCAGAACTATTTGGTGAAAGACCTGCTTCCTTCCTCCAATTGTCTTGACAAAGTCTTTGGAAAATCACTTAATTTATTGAGGTTTATTCCTGAATGTGGTTTTCATCCACTGATTGCTTTTTGTTTTTAAATTAATGCCAGCCTCAAAGGCTCTTCATTACTGTAGTTTTCCGGTAACTTTTGAAATTGGATGTTTGACTCCTGCAATGTTGGTTTTTGTTTTTGTTTTTTCTTTTTGTCAAACATTATTTCAACTATTTGGATTTTCACATGAGTTCCTATTCAGCTTTCAATTTTCACATGAATTCCTATTCAACTTTCAAATTTCTGGGGGAAAATGGCAATGTGAGTTTTTACTGGATGATATTAAATTTATGATCAAATAGTCATTTTAACAACATAAGACTTTCAACTGGTATATATCTGTTTTAGTTTATTTCAAAGGCATTTTTATTTCAGAACATGTTTTGCACATTTGATTACATTTATTCTTATGTTTTTATCCTTGACACTACTTTAAATTGATTTAGTTGACTTTATTTTTGATTTGTTTCTTGCTATTGTACAGAAATACAGATATTTTTCTATTGACACATACCCTGGCATTGTGGGAAAGGTTAAAAAAATGCACTGTCTTTTCTACCAAAGGGTTAAGTAGACAAAACTTTATTTAAAAACTTTATAAAGAAGCCACTTGTCAGAAATTCAATTCATCAGGGTCAGTACTTCTTCAAATCAAAATATGTACTCAAGGTTTCTCTCTGTCCACATTGCCTGCTGCTTCTCAACTTCATTACTTTAAACTAGCCAATCCCATCTGAATGTGAGGCCAAACTCAGACTGCTCAGATTGAGATATAGGACTTTTGTGTGTTTTTTGTTCACATTCTGATGCTCCAAAGACTTTTAATAAAAATTTGCTTTGAGTCAGAGGGCAGAGCTAGCTACTAGTGGACCAAAATTGACCATCAATGTTTTGGGGGACTGAGGACAGATAGAGAAGCAGGAAGTAGTAGGGTCTCAGCTCTTTTGGATGGAGGAATGAGAGAGAAAGGAGATCACTAGTCACTTCTCTGCCACTTTTCTGATCATTCAGGCTCTTATCCCGTTATCTGACTCCTGGGTTTTTATTGATAAAGAATAATGAGATAAATGCATCGTAAGACCCCTTGTCTTAGGAATAAAAACCTGGGAGGGGTCAGGTAGGTCTACTTCTCTGTTTAACATGCCCTTTGGAAGAAATAAAATTTTCTGCCTTGCCAACTAACTGTATGGTTATTTTCTTGGAATCTCAAACCCATTTCTTTTTTTTTTCATTTTTCTTTATTAAGAAATTTTCTACTTGCTCCACATACTATCCACAGACCCCCCTCCTCCTTCCTCTCACCCCCAAACCTCTTTCCCAAGCCACCCCGCATCCCCACATCCCCAAAATCGAGGTCTCCCATGGGGAGTCAGCAGAGCCCAGCACACTGAGCCTAGGCAGGTCCAAGCCCCTTCCCACTGTACCAAGGCTGTGCAAGGTGTCACACCACAGGACCAGGTTCCAGAAGCCCACCCATAGACCAGGGAAAGATCCCGATCCCCCCGCCTGGGTGCCCCACAAACAGTTCGAGCCAAACAACCATCTTCTGTATCCAGAGGGCCTAGTCCAATCCCATGGGGGCTCCACAGCCACCAGTCCACAGTTCATGGGCTTCCACTAGTGTGGCCAGTCATCTCTGCATGTCCTCCCATCATGATCTCGACTTCCCTTGCTTGCAGTATCTCTCCTCTCTTTCATCAATTTGATTCCTGGAGCTCAGCCTGTGCCTGGCTGTGGATCTCTGCATCTGCCTCCATTGGTCACTGGACAAAGGCTCTATGACGACAGCTAGGTTATTTGCTAGGCTGGTCACCAGAGCAGACCTGTCCAGGCACCCTCTGGACCACCGCCAGCAAACCAAGGTAGGGTCAACCTTGTGAATTCCTGAGAGCCTCCCCAGTACCCTGCCTCTTCCTATTCCCATGATGTCCTCATTTATCATGGTATCTTCCTCCCTGCCCACCCATTCTGTCCCTGTTCCAGCTTGACCCTTCCATTTCCCTATGCTCTCATCCTCCATTCATCACCCTT